TTTGTTACGAAACATTCTTCAAACAGGATATGAGGCGGGATTAGCGGAAACACTGTTTTGACGTGGTATGTGTACATTGATGTGACTGTAGAGAGTAATGATTGATATAATTTTTAATTTAATATATTTATTAATATAATACTCCAAAAAAATTTTATCAACGTTTATTTTTTTATTCACAAAATTCGATCAATAATTTGTTAATAATTTAAATAATTATTTTAAATAATTTAATAATTATTATTTTATTAAAAATAAAATATATTAATTTCGAATTACATGATATATGAGTAAGATGAAATAAAAAATAAAATATGATTATTTTTTATTATGTAATTAAGATAAAAAAATATATTTATTAATTTAATTATTAAATTTTATAAGTGAATTTTTTTATTTTAAATTTAAATTAAAAATAATAATTTTTAATAAATATATTATAAAATATATTAAATTAAAAAATACACTAATAATTATTCTCGTAAAGAAACATTATAAATCTAAAATTACAAATTTTTCTCACAAAATCACGAGTCATAAAAGAGAGCGTTTGGTTGGGAGGAAATCTTCCAACTTTCCTCCTTACTTGAATTTTTTAAGATTATATATTTTTATGTATTAATATTATAACGGTAAAAGTGATATTTTTTTTTATTTTTACTTTTGGTACAACGTTTTCTTAACTATTTTCTTAATAAATTTTGTCTCTAATCAAATAAATATATTACACATTTAGTTTAGCTAATCTTATATTGTATCATTTAAATTGCCAAATTGTTAAATTTGACTAATTTAAAATTTTGAATTTTACAATCTAATACCCCATAGAAAAAGAAAATTACAATCCAATACACAATTATTTCCGCAATTTTTTCAAACCCTTTGAGCTCGTGTCAGTGTTTAGAATACGACAGATATTCTGTTTGTTTGACTAAATCACTATACCCTTTAAATAAAGGAGTAAAGATAAATTTATCTTTAAAAAAATAAAGATAAATTATTTTTAAAATTATTAATTAAAATAAATTATTTATTATTTAATATATAATATCATTATATCTCAATTTTTTATTAAACATACTAAAATAACAAATAAATTTTTAATGTATAATAATATCACATATTTAATAATAAATAATTTATTTTAATTAATAATTTTAAAAATAATTTACATTTAAAAAAATAAATTTACTCTTACTTTCTTATTTAAGGAATGACTTTGGGTTATACCCTGTTTGTTTCTAAGCAGAGTAGGGCAACTAGCTAGCTGGAAAACAATCTGCAGAGGAGAGTAGTGGATGAATGTGTAGGTAGAAAGTCATGTCAGAGAGGCCCATTTACGTGAGAAAACCTTATCTCCTTCACCAAAACTCTTTGACATGGGGATGGGGTTAAGAAGAACCCTTTACTCTCAACCACTCAACTGTACAGAACAAACAGTACATAAACATCATCTTTTGAATTCAACTGAGTTGGATTGGGATTCTGTTCCTTTATTGACGGTGGTCAACTTAATTATTCAGCAGACAGATTTTTCTCATTCAAAATGTATTCTCAGTGCTGAATGAACAAGAGGTCCATTACATGTATACACGGTTTCCCATTACATTTTGTTGGCATTTTACATAGGAAAGTTCTAGATCAATCTAAATTCTAAAATCATCAAATACTTAGAACTCTTGTCCTGTCATTTAGCTTCAATTAAAAAAAAAATCTCGTCTTGTCAGTTAAATAGCCTTTTTTATTTTTTTAACATCGGAAGAATTTTAAGGAATAAGGGTTTTTTTTTCTTTTTGAAATCATTGATGGGAATTAAATTTTTTATTAGTTAAATTTAAATATTAAAATTTAAAGATGAATTATTACATATAAAGGTTAAATTCAATTAAATAATATTTAAAAGAAAAAAAATTAAATTTTACTAATATATGTGTTGTGTAAGCTCAATTATTAAAAGAAAAGATAAATTTAAATTTTATTTAATATTTTAATTTTATAATTAAATACAATTTAAAATATAAAAAAAAATTTGTGATATTAAAAGTTTTGTTTGTTTATGATAAATAAATAATAGTTTCTCATAATACTATCATTCAATCTTGTACGACAAAAGCGTAGATTACCCTGCAGAGGAAAATGAGATTCTACTTTTTCATGAATTGCCGCTGTTGAAAATGGTGGGTCTTAATCATTCCTACATTTTCATTTGTCTTTTGTCACAGAGGCTAATCCACAAATTTGTTTCCTTTCTTGAATGTATAATAATCGGCAATTACTCGGCGGGCTCGGGGTTCCACCACCAAGTCATAGGAGTCGGCCCATCATGATACTGCCACGTCTAGTTTAGACCCACATGGGTGTAACGTGGCACGATCAGAGTGGGGAACTGTGGAGCCTAGTAATTGGGGGGAGCTGAAGATGAGCGTCATCTTCCCCCACTGGTCACCCTCATGCACACCTTCCCCCTACAAAACTCTCTGTAATGCTTACATGCCTGCTCCATTCTTGAAACTTGAAAGGGTGAGTTCCAGGAGAAGAAAGAGAGAGATCTCATGGAGTATGAGAGGATTGAGAAAGCTCAGGTAACCCATTTGTTGTTATGGTGGCTCTGCTCTGTTTTCTTTTGAAATTCTTTGAATTGGGTTGGTGGGGGATGGAGTTAGAATGAAACAATCATAAGGCATTTTTAAGGAATGGGTTCATTTTGATCTGGGTTTTGGGAAAGTGCGGATTTTTTTACATATTTGGTTTTGGTTTCTTCATGAATTAGGAATCAAGAATGCCCATTTTGGTGTTTGGTTGCCCCTCCACCTTTGTTGATGATGATGGGAAGAGAAAGTTGGATTCTTTTTAAGTTTTGTTTAGCTACTTATGATGGTAAAGGATTAAATGTTTGTCTTGCATTCCCATATTGATGATGTAAAAGTAAAACAAAAGGAAGATAATGACTTTTATTTATCATAATTTATCAGTTTTAATGTCAGCTTGGTAAGATGTTAATGTCACCCTATTATTGCAATATCCCCTCGCTATTATATTGGCTTTTTTTTAGTAATCATTGGGTTTATTTTCTTCCACTGATTGTAAATAATATACAAAGCTTCTGGATTTTTTTTTTTTTGGTCTTTCTTTCAAATTGTGGATTGAATTGGTTTATATTGCAGGCTGGTATAATTTCACCAAGTAAACTGCGGATGAAGCTTATGGGGCCTCATAACAAAAAGAAAGATGGATCAAACAGCAACTCTGCAAGAACATCTCCATCCAGGCTTGAAGATAATGAATTTGTCAAAAACAGCCTTTTAGCCTCTAAAAGTGGAGACTTTGGTGAGGAAGGTTAGTTTCTTCTTTTCAGTCTGTTTTCGATTAAAACTTAACTAATTTTATTTCTTAGTCTAATTTCTGGGCAGAGTATTTGTATCTGAATCTATATGCTGATTTTGACCTGTGCCTTTCAACTGTAGCTCCTGGCATAGAAGTGGAAACACTTAAAGTTCCCAGTGAGGCACTGATGGTTTCGGGCCTGGGTGATCAAACTGTTGGCCCCCCAAGGGAATTACCACCAAGGGGGAATGGTGAAGTGGGTCATATTAAACTGCAGCAGTACTTAAAAGGTGAAAGTGTTAATTCTAGTGCAATTCACCCGATGAGGTTGCTGGAAGATGAAAATCTTGACTATGATAGTAATGCTAGTTCCTCTAGCTTTGAGTTTCATAAAGGGGAGAGAGCAGGACTTAATCCCATGAAGTCATTCTCAAGACCTATGTCATCTAAGTGGAATGATGCGGAGAAATGGATAGTGAACAGGCAAAATGTACAAGCTAATTATTCTAAGAAGAATGTTCCACTAAATCAAGCTAATCGATTCCCCATGACAAATATTGTGAGAGTTGCCCCAGAGTCTACAAATTTTGATCATAGATCAGCAGTTAATCGGGTAGCTGACACAAAGCGGGTGGATTTCTGTCAACCTGCTGCACAGATGGCATTCGAGAAATTTTCTTTTGTTCCTGCTGGAGGTCACCCTATTTTAGGACAAGTTTATGGAAGGGATCCCTTATCTGATCAGTTTCCTCAAACTAAGGATTTGAGGGAAGTGGTTCACAGGGAGTTATCTTGCACACAAAGTTCAACAGAAGATACAACAGGTAAACTTGCTACTTAATACTTAAACTTTCTGGTGTAGATAAAAATTTTAATCCGATTATGTTGTACTCTTTTAATCAACCGCCTAGTTCTAAGAAAAGAAATAAAAGCTGCAGATTCATAATTATGATTTTGTTGCATGTGATGGATAATGGTGCATTTAGTAGCTTCTTGCCTGAAGATTATCTGAAGAGGATACATATTCTTGATGCTTCTGCATCTAGGCTGTTGTTAGTCTACCATGAGATCAACATAGGGAACACTTAACATAATGATTCCTAATGATGTTGGTGCAATTGGTCAGCACAAATCATAATATGGGGGATGGTTCTGATGTTCTCCAGAATGGATACTAAGGTTGGACTTCCATAGAATGAAATATTTGTTTCCAGATTTCAAGAAGTTGGGTTAGGAATATTTTGAAACTAAGCACTAGCATCTTGAGTGCTGTTATTCTGATTTTCATTTTTTCGGGCTTGAAACTTTTTGGTTAATTAATGGTTTGAAGTTCTACTTATCCTGATGAGAGTACAAATAATGGATTTAAGCTTCTACACATGACAATTCCCTTTTCTTTATCCCTTTGTAGGAGGTTTAGTAGGGTGGGAATTTTAGAGTTTAATTCCTTTTTCAGTTTGTCTGCCACATTCTTGTTTTCCTTTTGCCTCTGAATCTTTTCATGTGCATCATGTCTTTCTTCTGTTAATTGCCTTGTTTGGTACTCTATTTCATTAGCATTTGTTTCATCTTTATTTTTTTCTAAACTTCATCTGATACCTAAAAAACATTGCAGCTGTACCTGCAATAAGATCAGTTTGTATGAGAGATATGGGAACTGAAATGACCCCTGGCACTAGTCAAGAGCCTTCAAGGACTGCTACTCCTGTAGGGGCAACAACCCCAATCCGGAGCCCAACTTCTTCGATCCCATCAACTCCACGAAGAGAGGGACCTGTGCCAACACCTACTGGTGATGCGTCACAGTATCCCTTTGATAATGGCAAGAAAGAACTTTCAGAGCAAGAATTGAAGCTCAAAACCAGGAGAGAGATTGTTGCCCTTGGTGTCCAGCTTGGCAAGATGAATATTGCTGCTTGGGCAAGTAAAGATGAGCAGGAAAAAAATAAATCCTCAGTTGAAACCTCCAAGATGGAGGAGCTTGAGAGGCAAGAATATGACAAGCGTGCAGCTGCATGGGAAGAAGCTGAAAAGTCTAAGCATATGGCAAGGTTTGCTCATGAACCAACCGTTGAAAATTTTTGTTTCAAGTAATGAATTGTGTTTATCAAATTAATTACTCAATGTCACAGGTATAAGCGTGAAGAGATCAAAATCCAAGCATGGGAGAGTCAGCAGAAAGCACAACTAGAAGCAGAAATGCGGAGAATAGAGGTATCTGTAATTTCTTTTCTTGCCTCTTGTTGAATGGTAGTTAAATAACTTGAAACTTGGAAGTTGGGTATTTGGTGACATTAAGGTCAGTGGGCAAGTTAGAACCTGAACCTGACATTTTTTTTCTTTTTGGATAAAATGCAAATCTTTACTTATCCAGAAAAAAACTAGAGCACATCAGGGCAGCAAAATAACAGCTGGTTCTAGAAAAAAGAAACTACACAAACACAATGTCAAAACTAATCCTGTCAAAGCTAATCTGATCAGAACTAGCTAATGTTTTACAACAAAGTCAAGCCCCCATTTCCACACAATAGAAGATTGTATGTGTCTGAAATTAGTTTGCGTCGCTTGAATAATTATAAATTTTCAGATGTGATTCAGTGGAACCAACATAGAAAATAAAAAACATCTAGCCTAGGCCTTCATTTAATTGGAACGAAGACATTCATAGAAGATTATAATCTGTATATCTTGACCGTTTAATGTATGGGCTACCGGCCATATAATGTGTTAAGTCTGACTGTTTCAGGCTAAAGTTGATCAAATGAGAGCCCAAGCTCATGCAAAGATGGTAAAGAAGATAGCAATGGCAAGGCAAAGATCAGAGGAGAAGCGAGCTGCAGCTGAAGCCAGAAAAAACCGAGATGCAGAAAGAACAGAGGCCCAAGCAGAATACATTCGCCAAACCGGAAGGATGCCATCATCCTATAGCATGTCCAACTGTTGTGGTTGGTTTTGATGTTACGATATAAATCAATGGATAGAAGTAAGATCCCTATACACATTAGGCTAAAGCAGCAGCTTTTGTACCTTTTTGCTTTGGGCATCATTGGTGGTGCCCTTGTTGTATTCTATGGAGTGGCCTCAGTTTTCAAGCTGTTTACGTGAAGTGAATAGCGCAATTGATGAATTAAATGTCAATGCCAATACCATTTCATAGCAGTCCTGTCCACTATTTTCTTGCTTCTTAATATCTGTTTGATAAGGCTGTGGATTTTATCTAAACCACTAAAATGTTTGATCAGATGTCTTCTCCCCAGATTGGAATGGCTGAAAAGGAATGTCAGTCCTCACCTGAAAAGGACTAGAATGGGTTGAAAGTTGAATCAGATTTGTTAGGAGAATTTTAGTCTCAAAAAAGATATTTCTAAATCAAATTATCCTAAACTTGTCAAGAATACTACAGTGGAGCCATAAAATACTGGGCTTTGGAGTTTGTAGGCATGGACGGATCCATGGTGGGGGTCGAGAGGGCCAGTGCTTCTACTGGATCTAAATTCATTTTCAAAAGTAAACAAGTGAAATATTTCAGAAAAAAAAAAGGGAGTGAAATGTCTTATTTTCTTGGCCATGTTACACTGGACAGAGCGTGGGGTCAAGCGAAAGCGTGACACATGACAATGTAATGTAAGTTAAAGACGAAAGAGGACACCCTGCTCCTTCCTATTGATCCATACATAAAGGGGAGGTAGTTGGATTGGCAACCCAAACCCTTTAATTGGTACTATTATTGCTGATGGTGCCCTTCCTTGTCACCATTCCATGCCCCAACCAAGAGTCCAATCACACCAATCAACTGCCCCACAACATGCATCCCATCTAACACATCAATCCAATCCAACCCCCCTCCTAAAAATCCCACCTTTACATTGCCCAACAAAGGCCACAACCCTAGAAAGAGACCCCAAAGTGCTCAGCTGACTAATGCCTATCTTTTAGTGTAGTTATGCCACTCATTAATTTGTTAATGTCTTTATTAAAAAAAATTAATTTTATCTAATTAGATAGTTAAAAATAATCTAATTAGATAGTTAAAAATAATTAATAATTAATAAAAATTAATTATTTAATAAATTAAAATTAATTTACAGACTTATAGTGTAGTTATGCCACTCATTAATTTGTTAATGTCTTTATTAAAAAAAATTAATTTTATCTAATTAGATAGTTAAAAATAATTAATAATTAATAAAAATTAATTATTTAATAAATTAAAATTAATTTACAGACTTATATTTTGAAATATTATAACTGTTTTAAAAAAATTATAAATAGCAATGAAATTTAACACAATAACCTTAATAAAGTGTTCGGTGCTAATAACCACACCCCTCTTCTCCCCTCATCCCTCTTCCCCCAAATTCCCATTTACATTGTGAGGATAAACTTCACAATGGAAGTGGGAATTTGGTTGGCTCATCAAGAGAGTAGATTGAAGAATGATAAATCACTTGTGTCTCACATGTCAATCTCTACCGACATTGAGCAATCCTAAGTGGCCCATTACATTAGGGCACATTTAGACATCACAAAATTATTGGAATGTTCCAATGGAATTTCACAAAAATAAAGTTTTTACAAATACACAAAATAAGAAAAATCATATTTTTTATCAGACAACTCCTTTATTTCAGCATTTCTCTAGATGCTATTACTCGTAGTGTAGGATTCTAAAGAAACCATAAGAAACTGAGATCACAAGGGATCATACAAGATCTTAAAACCAATACCCCCCAACCAATCGAGAGTCACTGGAGGACCATCCTTGTCTGCCACAGATTTGAGATGTGGACACCAAGGCCAGCAGGCGACATGGATAAGACGGTACAAATAAGCAAGAGTACAAGATAGAAGCCATTTTCTCATTAATGGAACAGAGAAACAGTTGTTTTTGTCACTCGTTTCTGTAGAGACCATTCACATGGCACTTCGAGTTTCCTGTTGCATGCCTAATTGTAATACCCCAATAGATGGTTTCTGATGCTAGATATGTCCAAAAATCAGTTCAACATCAAGTTCATAGCAATCGGTTCGGCAACATGTGAACCAGAAAGCTAGCTTCACAAAATACTGATAGCCTAATAAAATATGGATTCTACAATATAATGTAGCATCAACGAAAGATAGCTTATAATTACAGTATTAGCTTATATATAATAAACTTTAAAGCTAAGAGAGTTAGGTAGTAGTAGGTATCCACCTACAGAAAGGTTGGATGAGACTATTATTACAGAAGCTAAAAAGGGTATCTTCAAGGGTTTGGATGGTTCAGAAATCCAATGACCCAACAGAAGCTATTCCAGAACTCAAATTTCTTGACTCCTGACGGCTCGTGTAGTCATCACAACTGCCATTGGAAAGCCTCTGAATTGGGACAGAGCTCAGAAGCTCTATGCCTCGTTTGCCCATTTGTTGCACTTCTTGGGGTGACAGTATCTTGATACACCACACGTTGTTCACAAACTCCCTGGTTGAAGTAAAAGAAAAAATGTTTTGATGAGATAATAATGAAATTTGAGTTCGCAGATAAAATGGAATTCCACAATGTTTGTACATATCTACGTGTCTGAGCAAAGATGCATGCGTGCACGTATGCAAATATATGGCCGATATAATATATGCTGGAGTTTTGACATCAGATGTTCCAAAGAATATAACTTGCATTGTAGACTTTTAAAACAAAATAATTTCCAGCGACTGCAAATTGTGATAAATATGATTAAATAAGAAGGGTGATAGGAACTCACTGCCAGGGGTCATCACCGAGGAGAAGTACATCATTCTCCCGGTCAACGAATACAAGCTGCCAGCCTGATCTCAGAGGGTCCTCCAAATGGCCTTCAAGGCCAAACATACGAGCAAGTTCACCACGCAGCTCATTGTAGCTGCTGAATTTGGAGATATCCAGTGACCTCCCGAAGGACCCCGATTTGTAAACCTGTTGTAAAATATATATATTTTTTAACATCAAAACCATGAAATAAGGCTCACATTACTGAAAAAAAAAAGAAAAAAAAAAAAGAAAAGGGCCTTCAAAAACTACCAACAGATCAAATTATGGTGAAGAAACAAGATAATTGAAGCAGAACATCAATCTAACCTTAACAAAGGTTGTAGTTTGTGGGTTTACTTGACCCACATTTTCTGGAGACTGCAGAAAACCTGATTCATCAATGCAACTCGAAGGAGTTATTGCTGGATTAACTGAAAAATCAGGTCCTGCAGTGCTCACATAATTAGGAGAGGAGAAGGGCATAGTTGTCGAGTCACTATCACTACCAACTCCTCTAAGACTTGAAATCCCATTCTGCATTAGAAGAGATGATGGCTCAATGTTAACGCCAAATAGAAGATGGCTCTGCGGATCAGCACCACCTTCTTGGTCAATTGTGCACTCCCTGCCAGGAAAGGGTGGCAAGGAAATAGAAGTCTGGGAGATGTTTGTCTGCAGTGGCCGCAATTGTTCTGCCTGTGCCAAAGAACATTGAGGAGCTCCAGATGGAAGAAGTGGTTCAACAGCAGCTCGCTTTGATGGCCAACCAGCAGAAGACATTACAGAGTTGGATCTAGGAAGGCTGAGCAAGTTAGATGATTCATCCTGGGAGAAAGAACCCAAAATGCTGTGCAGAGGAGAAACAATAGGGCCAGTCACAGGGTTCCCATTGGAATCAGAAAAACTCTGCTGTTGGCATAGCATAGGGATGGCTTGCAAAGGTGATGATTGGGACTGGGAGGCTGAAGCATACTGAGACATAGTGGGCACGGCACTGGGAATTTGCTGTTGATCAACCAATTGCTGGTGTTGCGCCAGTGGCTGCTGCTGTTGATTATTGAATGAGTTCTGGTGCTGCAATTGTTGATGAAGAAGGTGTGTCTGAGTTTGAGCCTGAGATTGAGGCTGATGCTGATTTCCTTCAACACTCTGGAGAAAGGCCTGAGGCTGGGACTGCTGCATCATCTGAGGTTGCATTAAAGCAGCAGCCCTTGAGGGAAGATTTTGAGGTTGCTGGAATTGTAAGAGGGATGTGGATGCTGCTTTGGTGGGATCTACAGCCCTCATCTCCTGCAGTGCAGCAGCAGCCATAACTTGATACATGTCAGTTTGCAAACCCAGCATGGAAACATCAAGCCTTGGCTGCATCCATGGTGTGACTCCAAGTCCCTGAAAATTAAGGGACTGCATTCCACGGTCTCCATCTCCTCGCAGCCACATAAGTGGAGAGTTGATGCCTAAATCATCATCCTTGATGCCTACGACAAAAGAAAAAACAAGTTCCTTTTTTTTTTTATACATAGAGATTAGGGATTGAACCCTATACTTGTAGCTAAGAGCACAGGTACCTCTATCACCAAACCACATAGTTGATGGTGAAAAACAAGTTTAGGTAGACGAGCATTAAAAGCTCCAAATACAACATATAAAGAACACGACAAATAAAAAAGGCAACTGAAACACCAAATTTAGTGCACC